GAGATCCTGTATGGTAGCACCTACCCTCCCTTTCAGGTACATACAGAATACACTAGGATAGGGTGAATTGCTAGCACCTCTGAGGATTATGTTATAATGCTAAACAAACCCAGCTTAGGGCTGATAGACACGGTATTTTCCAATGGTCAGCACAGTTCCCATTGGAAAAAGCAGGGTTAACTCTCACACCTCTTGTGACCATCCTCGTGGAAACTACAATAGGTAATGAGAAATGTCAAGTCCCAAGATCAATGAAATTTCAGGCTCTAGGGACAAAACAGGAATAGCATTGATCCTTTTAAAGAACACCAGTCAGAGGGTGAATGTAATATATTGCACAGAGAGGCTCAAGAGGATAAGCGGCCAAGTCCAACATACTTACCTGACAAAAAATTCAATCAGCTTTTAGCACAAGCTGCCTACCCTTCCTTTCTTTCATGCAGGAGTCTGATTCCAATTAAAGTGTGCAAATTAATTTTTATCACTTCCAAATTAGTTTCTGAATTTGTGTCTGTTTCAGATGAAAGCATCTGTCCCTCACTTTTCTGCAATTCTATCATCCACTTTGGTATCTGTTCAAAGACTCGGAGATAATTCTCATTTTCAAAGTCACTTGTTTGAAAGAGACATTCAATAAAGCAATCATAAAATATAAAAATAAAACAACTATAACGATACATGTTGAACTCCAGGGCATATCATGTACTCTCTTCGCTCCTTTTTGTGATGACTAATACAGTTGCTATGTGAGAAGAAATTTGTATACAAATTAGCACTCAGCTAAAACAAATCCCTATGTATCATAAGAGAAAAAAAATCACAACCCAAATTGTCAAATTCTATCACAATAATTTTTCTATTCAATCTCTTAGAACTGCAAAGATTTACATTTGCCAGATCACTTCAAAGAATTAAAATAAGCAAACTATGTCCTCTACATGTGCCGTGTCTTCCTAAGAGAAAACAGACTCCTTTCACTGTTCTCTCAACTGCAGCAGATTTATAATGTGGTCATCAACTTAATAAGGTGCAGATTCAGATTACCTATTTCAGATGGGCAATTCTTAGAAAGTAGGTGTCTGACCCTGGCAAGATGACTAAGCTTCATTCAGTCCAGTGTACCACCCAAAGGTGGAACTTATTTAAGCAAGGATAAAGAAATAAAGGGAAGCTCAAATGTACATTAAAACACAAAAACCTGCATTCAACTCCCCTTCAGCCTAAAGGAATTCATGCCACATCTCCCACTTTCCAGGAGCATCCGCAGGCACCAGCCTCTAGTCTAGGCTGGAAAAGGACATGTTCTATCACCGCTATTGGAGCTTAGCCATTGCATAGCCATGAAACCAATTTTTGTTGGACCAGAGAAAGTACAAGCAGGGAGACAATTTGCCCTACATACTGCTGTTGAAGGTATGCACTTTTGGTTCCTGATTTCTTGGTTTATCTCTATTTTTATCCAATCATCATGCCATATAAGATCGATAAACAGGAGCAGAGAAAAGAATTTTGCTTTCCACCAAAGCTGGAGGTTCACAGGGGGGCCCTCCCACATTAATTTATAGCCTGAAAGTCAGCATATGCTTGTGAATATGGGAATGTGGGTTTGAATTCACTGAGTCTCTGGAGGCCAAGAACTTAGTCTCCCACTTCATGGACAAACATACTAACCAGAAGGGTTTTTGCAAGCTAATTTTGAAAGCTACTCCATGGAAAACATTGTATTTAAAATCTGGTAAATTTTCAGTCTTCTCACAACAATTGTGAAAAGTGTCAAGACATTGTGACAAGTGCAAAATGAACCAGAAACTCCTTTTTGATACTTATTGTAGAATAAAAGTGATAACTTAATGAACACATTGATTGGAAAAATTATTTTAAAATTATAAAAGGAAGCTCAGCATGCTCTCATAGGCAAGTTTTCAGCTACTGAGCTAGTGCAGCCACTTGCAAGAGTCTCATCCAAGACTCAGTTTTTCTCCATTCTCCTCTCTGAACCAGAGCTGATTCTGTATTTCCCAGCTGAGGTCACCCTCTGAGCACATGCCCGCACATAGAGCAGAAGGCTCTATGTAAGTCCAACAGGTTAGGTTATTGACGTATCTGTTGTTTAATAAAGATTTTATCTAACTCATGGATTCTGGAATATGGACTTTTAGCAGAATTGGTAAGGAGTTTGTTCTGACAGTCTTTTGCCCCAGAGTATTTCACAATAAATAATTGTGATTGCTCTGTTTTCTAATGAAATAGTATCTACATTTTTCTATACAAATGTTAAACTACATAAACTGTTTAGGACTGGGGGCCTGCTTTTTCCCCCCCTTAACATTTTCTGAAACAACTAAAGTTCCTTTTGGTAATTGGATGCATTGAAGCTGAAATTGATAATTAACTGTCTTTCAGCTTAAAAGATCATTATAAAGTCAAGCATCTAACCTAACCCAGATAATTACTATACCTGACATTTTTCTTTGAATTCTTCACCTTCTTACAGTCTGTGATATAAAATACCTTATCTGTGTCTCCAGATGACAGCTTTCAAAAAACTAATCCCCCTTTTTTTCCCTGAAAATATCATCTACATCTTTCTGGAAATTCATTCCAAAGATGTTAACTAATTGGATTTGACCTACAGTGAACATCTCACTTTCATTTTTCCTACAGGGTGAATCCTAATCTTCTACCAGTAAGTCTAGAAGAGTAGATTAGGAAATATTTCCTCACTGCTTCGGTGGCTTAAACTATGTAAAACTTCAAAGGTGTGTTTATAAGGATTGTTGAGAATGTTTCACTCCTGAATATTAGTATACAGGGAATCAGTCATCAACAAGCTATCATGTCTGTTCATGGTAGGGAACAGAATCTAGTAGTCAGTACTTCAGCAGAAAGATTTAGTAATTGTAGAAGTAGGTCCTTCAGGCATATCATCACTAGTGTGATCTATCCTTACTGATGTATGTTCATGAAAAGTCAAAGTAGCTGTTAATAAGGATATGTTTACAACACATGAAGTTCTAGTTATACTACAGTACCAGTAAATAATTAGCATATCCATGTTAACTTAATCCAATGAGTAGAGATAGCAAGAATAGTGATGACATCACTCTTCTTGACATGAGTCTTCAATATGTCTTCAACATGAGTAGTAAGAAATCTGATCAATATATTTGGAAGCTAGCACAGCGGACTTAGCTATTTCATCTTCCTGGGTGTTGCTATCTGTGCCTGCGAGATTACATTTGCCTGGACATGACCATCTGCAGCAGACTTTCCCATCAATCTGACTGTAAGTCCTTTTCTTCAGAAAAACAGTGCCTTATCCATATAGAGGTAGAGATAGAGAGCAAATCATAGGATTGGTTTTTGTTTTCATTGACTTCTGTCAGCTGACTGATATCCTTTCTTTTCATAAAATTAAAGTTATCCAAAGCAGACACTTCCAAAGTTACACAGCTGAGATATTAAACCTGAGATTCCAAAAAGTACTACTTCCTTGCATTCAGGTATGTTCATGATGAGAAGAAGGTATCAGAACTAAAATACATTTATCTGCAAAAGAAGTGGAGCCTTTTGTACCAGCCAGTTGGGAGATGCTAATGGCAAGGCTGTCCAAGCCCCACATAATCAAAGGAAGTAAAGGAAAAGTCTCACATTTTTAATTCAATGAAAGGAGCAAGCTCTTACTTTTTTCTGACTCTCAGCACAGAAATTACTAATACTTGATATGAATCACACAGGCATTCAAATAAGCAAAACATTCAAATAAGCTAAACAGAGTGCCCTGAAATGAAATTCCCTTTCAGACTGAATTTCCCCCTATCTGAGAATTAAGTGCTAAAAAAGCCATGGAATATACATAAAAATTAGAAAAAAATGTTATGGGAATACAATTTAATATTTTTTTCCCCTCTCTGTGTTATAAAAGCAAAAGAACGCCAGGTGAAAAGTGAGGTTTTTATGTGTCTCCCCTTTGCTCTGCTTACAGACAAATGGAAGAAAATTAAAACATAATAAAAAAGCTGCTGCTGTGAAATTAACAAAATATGTACTTTGTAACATATAAAACACTTTTCTACGAGACATTCAGTTGAAGTAATACTTTCACTTAGATGTCTGTAGCTGACAGGTCTACAACTGCCTCCAGTCAGTACTTGAACCAGAGATCAAAACTGATAGTGATGTTTATCTAAAGAGGCAATATCCTTGTGCTGAAAATAATAATCAGAATTCAGAACCTGCTTTAAATGAAAATGTGCATGGATTTAGTGTTGTACAAAACAGCTCTAGCATATGGATAAAAGTTGCTCTTGTCTTTAGCTGTGGTCACATTTCTGGCTTCAGTGAAGGGACCTTGTAAATTAGTAGTGCACTTTAAGCACCCTCCTATATAAATTAATATTATTATTATTGTGTCCCCTTCACTCTGCAAAGCACTGATAGTTAGTCCCTTGCAAATGAAATGTAAACTCTTCCTGACATTTTATCTTTTTCTATTTTTATTCAGTCACATTGCTTCTCCAAAGGTTTGCTTGCTACAGAAAGACCTTTCTGAAAGAAACTCATTTAATTCCATGGCATGTGAGACATTCCATTTTTGAAAAGGCGAGCAGCTGATATAGCTCAAAAGTAATATGTTAAAATGCCAAAAAATATTTCCGGGGAAAGAAAACTCAAAATATAGTGATATACATCCTGTCACTTAAAGGCCATAACCATCTTGTTCTAGTTTATGATGACATGATGTTATAAGTGATAAAGGCAATTATGACTTACTCCCATACTATTATCTGTTACCACGCACAGAGTGTTTAAACATTTTTTTGGCTAGTACTCAATGAATTGCTTAGCGTGTGGTGCTCTTCTTATACCAACTTTCAACCTGGAAGTGAAGTAATCGATACATTTGGTAATACCTTCTGAAGCTGATGGAAGGAATGCTAAAAATGAATAGGTGTGACAGAGGACCTCTCAGGAAGGTATTTTTTACAGGATATACTTACTGCTGTTTGGATTGTCACCTATAATATGATGTCGGCCACTCCAGTACCAAAGCAGCAATGTAGCATCACGAGACCCAGACACGATGTAGCAATCACCACCGATATAGGACTCTGATCTGGCAAGGCAAGTCACGACATCCCAGTGGCCAAACACAATCTGAGTTAATTTTCCTGGTGGAAGTGCAAAGCAATACAAATTCAGGTTTTTTAAGTACTTGCAGCATTTAGAAATCATTAACTAAATCATTAGCAAATTTTCACTTCAAATGTAATTTTTGCCTTATGTCCCTTAATTAGAGTTCACTACATGCTACAAAAAGATTAAATTTTTTTTTTCTCTTTTTATGTTCCTATTGAAGGCTGTGCTCTGTGTCAATCCATAGCCTAACCTTTATCTCTGAAAATCAAGTCAGTGCTGCAGTCATTGAATATTAAGTGGAGCTACTGCTCCATCAGTATTTAAGCAATGGTGTTAGAACACTGTTTGTGAATTTCATGAATGATATGCATAAGACAGCACATGAACTTTTCCATAATGGTGCTACATTATTATATTAAAAATGTGTGTTTGTTCTACGTTAATGTCAAACTAAGGTTTACTATGATCATCACCTCCTTCTTTCTATTATTGCAATCAGTTTTTAACACTATACTGAATTATATTAGGCTAATCAGACAAAGAAACAAAATACTAGTTCCCGGTAGCAGGCTATGCAGCCTACTTCCTTATTACATGAAATAAATAGAGACAGAAACAATACAGCCATGAAAATATTGTAACAAAAATTTTGGTTAATTCTTTTGGTGTGATTGATTCCCTGAATATAACTATGGTTTTCAAAAGTTACCACTAACAAAATTGTATGCCTTTCCATTTCCTTTTACATCCTTTATCTTCCTAAAAAAGAGCATCTTAAAGCTATTATGCTTAAACTATAATGAAGGATTTTATAAACTGCCTTTTATCATTTATTGAGGGGTAAGCACAGGCATTAGATATGGTAGCATTAAGACAACTGTCCACTTTGAGACCTAAAAAGAAACAGGTGGTTGTATTTAAGGTCACCTGTTTCCGTAGAGTAAACTCGAAAGCTCTTGTCCCAGAAACCACAGATGAGAATGTAGCGGTTATCTGCCGTGACTACGAAGCAATGTGCATTGATCTGGATGCTCTGATCCACAAGGTCTGTGATCTGCCGTTTGTTCACACCAGAGTTATTGGCTGTAACAAAATGCAAAACACATTTTACAAGTAAGCCATTCCAACACCTTGCTGTCATCCACTTACAGGAGAAAATGAATACATTTAACTTTCAATGAACTGTGATTTTGTTGTTGAGTAAGCATTTTGAATATGAACATTTAGAGCTGTCTATATGGGTGTCAGAAATACAAAATTATTGTGAGATTTCTGGTTCCCCTTTGAATAAGACAAAAGATTTTACAGGAGATGGCAATTTCTTATAAACTGCCTGATGCACTGCATAATACATGGTAATATTTTAAGTGCTCTGCTGAAGTACACTCCAAAATCAAACTGAACTAGGGGGAAGTGATGGAAGTCCATTTAAAATCCCAAGTCAACACTAACAATACTGCGGAAAGTCAATCCTTGCTGGTTGGTACCTCTCCTACAGAAAATATCCCAGCTTGTGTTGTGTGACCTTGACATCCCCCATACCTGCAGAAGCTTAACCGGATCACAGACGTAAGGATTCAACCAATGAAGCAATTTAAATTGAGTGTGTTTTTTTTAACACTGACTTCTCATCTACTCCTCAAGCAGGGAGCCACGGGCAGTAATGTTAAAAGAGGCAATGCCACCTGGAAATTCCCCCAGATAGAGGGAAAAGGAATGGTTCATGCAGAATCCCACCACCCCCACTGTCAGACGGACCTAATGTGCTATTCAGTTCCCATGACACACAACAGACAGGATTTGGCAATACAATGAAGGTGTGTTCCCTCTCACCTAATATTAACTTTCTAAAAGTTCAGTATGTAATCTAAGTTAATTATCTATGCTCCCTCTATACTCCCTGGAGAGAGAGACATCACTTCACATGGCAAGTCACCTCATGCTGTAATAGCTGTCCAAGTGCTAGACAACTCCAGAGGACAGTTTCTCTTCCTACAGTAGCTATGAAGGGAATCTTGACAACTAACTTCAGATAACTGAAGTTAGGTGAGATAAAACTCACTCTGAGAGACATGTTTCTCCTACCATAGGAACACGACTTAATGCAGATAATATTGTGAAATTTCTTTTGTCCCTATTTTTGGTTTTTCTAGTTAAATTGCTCACAACTGCATGAAATAAGAGACTCAACCAAAAAAAACCCCTATTTTAAATTTGCTTGTGAAAGTTAATACCATGTTTGTGTACATTCCAAGAACACATATTTAAATTACCAGATCCTCTATGTCCATCCACTGAAAGATAATGAATAACAAATTACTCAAATTTCCAGAACAGGTGGGCACAATAGTTGTGCCCTAGCTTTTGAGAGGAAAATCTGAAGAGAAAACCATTGTCATTATATAAGCAAATGAAGCATACAAAATGAGAAAGCTAACTCTCCTGAGCTACTTGTGACATAAATCTTTCAACCGCGAATATTGACACAGACGAAAAAGGAACTTTTCATCTGGAGATGTTTAAAAAAGTATTTTTTTCTCACTGATGCTGCAAAATAGGCTCTAAGAATCTTCCCTATCCACAATTTCTGTCTCAAAAATATACCTCCTGCAAAAAAAAACCCCAAACAACCACAAAGCAAATAGTTGCAATTAAAGAGAAATAACGACTGTTAGGGATACAAGTCCTGCAATCTCTCTAACAGTTTAAGCAGATGCTGTTTCTCAAAATACTTCACTTTCTCAAATATTTTTGGATTTAAAAAATACAATCATGTATCAATTTTTAAAATCCAACCTTTTCTTTATTAATTTAGTAATGCCAACTAAAACAAGCCTAATTATAAATTGAATGAAAAGAAATGGATCTTCACTGATATACACAGTGCTGGCTGTAAGAAATGAAAATATGTGAACTCTACCAGACCTTCACATTTTATTTTCCTAATGTGACCTGATAAGAGAACAGAATTATAGATATGGGCTGACAATGTAACTGACTTAATTGGTTGTTTCTTAAATACCAATTGCTGGTGATGTTAATAACAAATAGCACTCATGTAATTCATTCAGCATCAATAGCTAATGCTTTTAGTTCTCCAGGACTGACAAGAATAAATATTTTCCTATCTTCCATGTTAAATGAAGCATAATATAAAAATATAGCTTAATCAATAATTCTTGAAAATGCCGTTTTCAAATATATCGCTACATTTTCATCTTGACATACCAATCAATGGATCCATTTCGATTGGAAGATGGTGGGCTTGATCCAAAGAATATCCTGGGGCTCCCCGAAGGCCTAAACATGAAAGGAAGAATAAAGCACACAGGAATCTTCTGGTCTAAATTTTTATGTGATTTTTCTAGGTTTAAAATTGCATTATAGGATTATTATATATATAAAAAAGTAACTTCTTACTATTACTTGTTCTATGAAGCTTTTAAGATTCCTTCCTCTGTGCTACAGAAATATGCATTTGTTAATTCTTCAGTTATGTAATAGTAAGTATAAATGTATGAGCACTAATTTCATCACGATTTCTCCAGCCACAAACATCCATTAAATAACTCATTTAAAACAGTGTAACAGAGAATTTTTTTATATTTGAGCACTGGGTGAGATCTAATAATAGCACAGAAAAGAAAAATAATTGGAGTAAACATAGTTATGAGTTTCTTATATAGGAAACCTGTAAGTGACAGAAACTTGGACCTTTTCATGGACTTATCTAGAGTTTTTAGCTGGGAAAGTGTGGTCTACAGTAAATTTGCCACAATTATTCTTATTACTTCTAACTTGAGCAGTCCTTAAGCTGTTCATCAGTGGCTCCATATTTAGTGTTATCTGCTCTCATGCACGGATAGCATTGCTTTGGCTCTTCTGAGCACCTTCCCTATCATAAATCACAATGGCTGCTACTGAAAACACAATTTTTGTCAGGAAGTGCCATGTTGCACAAGAGTATCCTCCATAAGAGATACAGAGTTCTGGAGAATAAACTCTGAGTGCAAACTGATGACGGAGATTGTTATGTTCTTGGGCCTTGTCTGGCTTAGTTCATATTTCTAACTCTACTGTTTTCAGTAGATCAAAGATAATGATGCAGGCTTGAAGATGTGGTGAAGTGCTGTATTTTATATGATGTCTATCTTGATCCCCAGTTAGAAGGAACTGCAGTTAGAGGGCACTTGAGTGGTTAAATCCTAATCCAGGTTAGAAAAGTGCATAGTTTCCTGACTACGCTGAACAAGAACTCCCATGAGCGCAGCTTTTACTAGTTTCAATGTTTCTGCCTTATATTACACATAAAGAACTCTCCACTAATAACCCTTGTATTCAGTAATAATTGTTATTTTCTACTACTGCAATAGACAACTGGAGGATGTGAAAGAAAACACAAGCTACAGCTGGCCCTGCCAGCTTCGGAAAACCACTGCTCTGAGAACCTCTCCTTCCCTCCTTTTTTTCTCTTCTTTCAAAATCAAACCAGTTTGGGACAGATCTTTACTAGAATTAACTTAGATTCATTTGATTCTACTGTGAGATGGCTTTGTAAATGCCTTTCACTGTGTATAAACCCTTAAACATAAAGCTCTACATACATCCCACAACGGTAAAAGTCCTCTGTGTGTACATTCCTGTAGATTAACCTATCCTGTCTGTTTGTTTGTAAACAGAGAACAGGAACATTCTGAATACATGTGAAATTTTAATATTCATGCTAACATTATTTAAACATTCAGAATAAAAGTCACATTAAAACTTATATTACTATTCAAGAATTCAGAATGGTATTACCTTTACTTTCTCTGACAGTTCCTCTAATGCATGCCTATAAGGGAATTCTCATTCATTCTTCTAATTATTGCTTGTAACACCCGTCTTCGGACAGCCTTGTGCATAAGAGGTGGGATCTATTTCACCTGACTTGGATTATTAGGAGATGTTTACATTTAAGTCTATTGGAGGTAGACATCTAAGCTAAATCTCACAAATCCCTCTGCAGAAGGACATATTTTGTCCAGGGGGTCCTCCTGTTCTGCAAAGAGGGGAGGATTTTTCTTTTTTTGCCTAGTCCCTACAAAGTTCCTGAGTCAGCTGCTGAGTCACACTCTCAAACACCAGGTACCTTCTTGTTTCTCCCAGGTGGTAAGAAACCTTCAAAAGTTTCCAGATGCTGCAACATAAGAGCTATCACAGCAGGAAGCCACCTTTGAAATCTGTTCATTCCCAAGCAGGGCAGTAGCTCATGGCCCCACTGCCTATTTAGCAATCCCTGGGACAACCTCAGAATCTACATGTCCAGGTGAGGAGACAGGACAGTTCTAGCAGCAATATGGAGAGGTGAGCAGAGGGGCTGGAAGGGAATTTTGGGATGACCTCATTGAACGGGCTTTTGGGAGGGAATAAGGAAACTTCTCTTCAGAATAGTTCAGTGTCCAGCTGCTTAGGCTTGCTTAGGGTCCCACATTATCTAACGGTGACCCAGGTGAAGGCTTATGACAAGCTCCTGGACAGACCTGAAATCTCTCTCAAGCAGCAGACAGTGATGTACACTCTCTAGCATGCCGGTATTATTCCTGAAACCTGGGACATACTAATATCGGCTGTGTCAAGAACAGCGGCACTCTCCTGAAAAGCATTATATCAAAGGCTGATCCTGATGTAACCACAAATCGATTGGCTGCCATGGTGATGTGCTGCTGTTAGGGAAAGTGTTTCTAGGAATGACACCAGAGGAAACACAAGCTTTGATTATTTGACACAAACCTGAAAAAACAGTAAATTTTTGTGCACAGGCAGGTGAGTGAGATTAGCCCACATCTAGCTAAATTGCACTCAAAATTAAAGCTGTACTGTTAAGGTCTTCAAATTTGAAGGAAATGTGCCCATGAGAACCTACCCACTGTGTTGTGCCACCGATTGACTGCAAACAGCCTGCTGCAGGTGACGGTCACCACGGCAGGAATGGTCAGGTGGGGCAGCGTGTTGGCTGCCACGTGTGTGACAGGGGAATTTGACGGGAACTTCAGCACCATGATGACATCCTGCTGCATCTGATCTTTAAACATGAGGGGGCTCTGTGGAAGGAAACACTGTTGAGTAGAAAGGAGAAGAGAGCAGAAGAAAACAGAAGGGATAACACAATTAGTGAGGAGGTCTGAGGGAAAACGAGGTTAAAAAAGAGCAGGCAAGCACGTGCACATAGAGGGAAAACAACGCTACCTGCGCATCTACACTAGTGATGGAGGAGAGCAAGACCAGAAGCTATTATCGGATCATTACACGAGGACAAGTAGAGAATAGGTATGGTAAGGGTTATCGTTACAGGGTGCAAAATGACCATTGGCATTAATTAATATACAGGAAAATGTAAAATTATAATATCAATACAATAGAGATACAAGTCAAATAAAATAGTTTATCAATTAATACATCATAAATATAAATGCTATAAACTACAACGGTTGAAAAAAGAAATTTTAAGAGAGACTCAAAAACTCCCAGATATTTAATTTTCCTTAATGAATTCTTTATATGAAAGAATTCTTTACATACAGCACTTCCAAACATAGACAATTTAATTCTATATAAAGCATATACTTATTAAGGAGTCTGATGATTCTACAAGTGACACAGTTTTTTGTACATGGACAACAATGCTGTTATTAAATACTGTTTTTAATTTTTTTTTTCAATCACTGCTATAACAAACAGAATTATTTCTAGAATTTCAAATAATCCTTTCTACTTATTGCTTTAAATTATTTTTGAAAATATATTATCCATATCTTAAGAATATAAAATAAATATTATGTTCATTTGACATCTACACATTACTTAACGCAGCTAACACTTCCAGATCAATTCCCACTTCCACAGTGTCCAACTAGATAGAGTGATTTCCTTGTAGATAGATAAAATGATTGAAACTACTGCACGTATTACTGTAGATTTACAAAACCTAAAAGAAAATATCTAGCTCTAAGCATTTAATCAAAGGCACTGAGGGGCACAGAGATCTGTCTCATTCAGTCTGGCTATTTCATATAAAAATCTTTGCAAGAAGCAGAGAGAAGAATGCGTTGGGAATGAATTTTGGGAGTTCAAATTGAAATTCGAAATATACATTGTATTCTCCCGGGGGAACAGGCGGGAGGATTCCAGTACAATTTGAACTCCAATACTTCATTTTTTTCAAGCAGGCATTGTTCATAAATCAGCCCCTAACAATGCATCCTTTAAAACAAAACAAAACAACATGCTCACTCTAAGAAAAGCCTACAGTCATTCCCACTACTTGCAGAAATAAGAATGTAAATATGTGTTTATCAAGCGTATATTTATAAAGATAGGGCCTTTTTATACAATATTAGACAGGAAAAGCCAGGACTATAGGAAGCTAAAGCTATTCAAACCTCCACCTTGCTGTACTAGAGCACTGCGAGCCGTTTCTGCCAGGAGAAAGTACAGCTGCATGGGCAACGGAGGGCATTAAAAGTGTTGCTTAAATGGGTACTTTGTGACCTACAAAGGATCCTCAGGTTCAAAGGGAATGCATTCCCGGCCAGCAGTTATGTCTCACCAGGTGCATGGCAGAGCTCCGAGGTGGATGGGGCTCAATGAGCAACTGCGATGGCGTCTGTCCAAAGTTCTGTATCTGCACCTCCATGGCCTGCGGGCAAGGGAGAGGGACTGTCATGAGCAATATGCGTCAAGGAGAGAGGTCAACACACTGTGTGACAATGCAGGCATATCCCAAGTCAGCCATGAAAAAAGTCCAGAAAATTCACCCGGTGCTCTCCTCCCAGGCTGCAGACTCATCCAAGTGTTAGTATTTTGTAGACAAGCTTTGTTTCTCCTTTCAAGCATGCTTCAGTTAACCAACTAACCATTCTCATTTCCAGTAACTGACGTTATATGTGAAAATGTTAACCTGTGAGGACATGCAGTTCAGGTCTTGAGAGAGCTTTTTTTTGCACTAAAAAGAACATATATACCTTAATAAAGTCCTTTGTAAGGAGGAAAGTATGAGGATCTCTAATAAAATAAGCCTCTGGAATCTTAAATGAGGGGAAAGAAAAGCAAACTGAGAAACAAAATTCATGTATAAAATATAATAAAAACAAAATAATTACTATTTCAACAACAACATTAGTAGGTTAAAACAAAAAAATGCCAGAAACAAATCTTGCCAGGCACATTCACACTAATGTAAAAATCTCTCCAAGTTGCATACATTCACTGAATATTTATTTCATGCCTAATTTCATCGCACTGTTTCATGGGCTTTCAGGCTTCACAGGTTCGAAATGAAAACTTAGCAATTTCAATGCATTCTTCAAGACTAAATTCTACTTTCAGAATAAATCTGGAGTAATTTGATAGGGAGTAGAATACAGCCCGTATACTGAGATGTTTCCACTACTCAAACAGTTCATTCAAACAAAAATACATTTAAGATATATTCTTAAAACTTTGGCAAAAGATTGATGCTTGTAAAAGCAATACTGTTAAAGAACACTCCTTATTTTTCAGATAGACAGGTACTATTTTATCTGACTTTGTGAAATCGAGAATAAAGCGTTCATAGAAAACTAAACTGGCAGATTCTGAAATGCACTGTGCATTATGTACCTATATATATACTGTACCCTGCACTACTGACCCTTAATATTTTTCTTGCGAGCTTTATGAATTTTTCATTCACTACCATACAAAGAACATGAAAAAACCACCAAAAACATTACTATCTTGGTAAATTACGTTATTTCTTTCAGACATAAAATGGTAAGAAGTATAATAAATACTTCATGATACAGAAGAATCCTTTTAATCTACATATTTTGTAATTCCTACAAGCCAATCTGTGTTTTCCTCCACTTCACAGCATAGATGCAAGAACAGATGTTAGAGAGAGATTTCCTAACAGGTCACTAATGTCTACCACTCTTGATGCCCTAGATTGACAGGTATATAATGGAATACCACAAACAAACATTTGCCAAAAAAGAAACTTAATGCAAAGTCCAGTCAAGCGGCTGAAGGACTTTCAATGGATTCTAGCCTTAGCACATTTGATGCTGTAATTATCCCAGCACAGGTGATTTCTTGCTTGTTGACTAATTCAGAGTGGACTTTAGTCTCCAAGGCACAGAGTGTTTCCGGGGAACTGGTGAGCATCTCGGGTTTTATTAACATCATTTAATGATTAATTATTTTAAAATCATAGTGTAATTTTATACAAAACCAATGCAGTTGTGTGGGTGCATGCGTGTACAAGTCTATAGAGCAGCTATCTATATGTAGCATATAAACAGTATCTCTTTACATGCTGTGTAGATACCTTCATTCATGCAGACACTTTTTATACAGGCATATTCACTTCAAGTCAAATCAAATGTAGTATTTTCTATTACATTTAGTACTTATAACTGATTTGGTTGGCGGAGAGAAGGGAAGGAAATTATACTTGTTTGTGAATTTCATTTTCAAAATGACAAAGACTAATATCAAGAATATCAGGCGCTGCATGATTCCATGCAGATCTGTCAATAGTATTTTGAGAAAAGTAATTTCCATTTTTCTTTTTTTTTCAAATAATTATCAAGGTTAATTTAATTTTAATTTTTGAAAGAATTCTGTGTTGAAATAAGAGTGTGAATTGTATTTGGCAGCACTACTGAACAAAACCCAGCTCTTCCTCTCCCACCCTTTATAGTGATCCCTTAAATAATACTTCTGTTCTCTCGCAGGCATACTGAAATGAATTATTAATTTTTTTTTTTCAGTGCAGCCCAATTCTAATTTACACATTTACTTTCATGTTGTCCAGTCTTGGCAAATTCTGGTTGTTTGGCTATAAATTCTGCACACATAAACTTTGCTGGCTTTGCCTCCCAGTTCAGATAGATTTATGATAGTAACAGGGGAAGAGAAAGAGAAGCAGAATATGATAATAAACCAGCATGAATTTTTCAGATTATGAGGAACGGACACTTAAAACATAACTGTCAAAAGCAACTGTTATTTTACAGCTGAAGATGTCCTGGTAAATACTCACACACTTTACGTGTTTCACATACATAATTTTAAAACATTTAAGTTAATGTCAAGTCCTTCCGTAACCAGAACTAATGCAGAATCAAGACCTTGATATTCAGGGAATATTGAATATTTTTGCTGGCTTGCACTTACAAAGACAACTGCCTTTCCCCCACCCCATGGATAGTAATGTTATCCTTTTCTTTCAAAATTACCATTTGTAAAACTGACAACTCTTAGAAGTGTTAAAGCATCTAAACAATGTTTCTTTAGAAATACCCGTAATATTCAACTACTGCACTGAGACTATAGTCTGCACAACACCACAGCTGTACACAGCTACAACTGGTATTCCTCTCTAGAGCTCACAACACTTAAAAAGGACAGAAAAACCTTGTCAAAACTTACACAGAAGATAAACATAAGCATACAGAGATAAAGTGACTGGCCCAAGGGTATTCCTAATGCTGCCTCCTATCAGATCACTTGACACAAAATGAAAAGCAGGTACAGAACAGATCTGTGAATAATAATGTAATACATTGATTTGTTTACAAGAGAACTCTGGCTGTATCTGAAACTAATCTGTAAACTGGTAAGTGTACACCGCAGTTTTTCTTGAACTGTAAATCATCAAACTTTAGATTTATTTAATGGTCTTAAACATTTCATTCTAAATAAGCAATTCCTTTTCTCCCATCAGATTTTGAGTACTGTGTGCAAAGTGCTACACCACTCCCTGAGACACACATTCTAGTCAATTTAATACAGATTTTAATAAAATAAAGTTTATTCTCATTTCACCTTCAAATGTCCTTCCTGTAGAAACAGTATAAGCTTGGAATTCAACGGCTGCCAGATTTAACGCTTTTGGAACAGCAAAATGGCAATTATATTAGTTTTCACTTTCTTAATAAGGTGTTGCAGAAAAGCTATTTAGTGAGCTGATTTGAGATTCCCTACTGTTTTTAGACACATAAAATGAGATTTGTACTCCAGACACTTCAAGGAGTTCATATCTGTTAGGATATGATCATGTATTGCAGAAGGTAAAATGGGTCTAGCCTATTATTTTATAATCGTAGGTCAGAACAAGGAAAGAAAAAATATCTGCAAACTTGCTGGCAATTCAAAGTTTAAAATGAGTTGATCCCACACATCCTAATTTATGCAATCAAGCAAAATACAACTTCACAGCACTTAATATTGGCCATCTAACAATATAGAGAGATTCATATTATATGTTTACATACATTTTTTGCCAAGAAATCAATACATAAAATCATACAATCTTATGAATGATGCTAATCTTAGTTACAATAACTGATAGCCTAAATATGTTTTGCTCAAAGGAAATAAATTATTAGGTTCCAATTTTTATGCTTAAAGGCAGACTGTACATTCACAAGGATACTGGGATGCTCCTCTGCAACTTGGAGGATCAGTCCTTAGTGTCAGCTTCTTGTGGAATGGTGGGTTCAATACATTTGCTTTGCTCGTTATGCAGCCTACCAAATTATTTGTTTTTTATTTCTTAATTCTGGTTGAAAGAAACACAAATCTGCATTAAAGAATTCAAGCAATCTGTTTCTTTAGGTATAAGAACTATTTTAGTGGTCAAAGGCAATGTCTCCAACAGCAAGCAGTGTAAAACCCAATAGGAGCAGAGCTGCAGAGCAAAAGAGTTGGTTTTGAGGAACTCATGCTGAAACCTGCCCACTGCAGGGTTTTCCCACCAGGCTGGCTCCAGCATGGGCTGCAGACCTCCATCAGCTGAGCTCTACTAGCTGCATCCCTGGAACACTCTGCTTCTGTAGCTTAGAGGCCAGTTCACACACTTCAAAACTGCTCTGCAGTGTGACCGAAAGCATGGCAAATAGGGATGACCTGCAGATTTATTTCAGAAGCACAGTCCTAATCTAAATGAAAATGCTAGAATTGATTCATCCAAAATACCACAAAAGTGAAGGTTTTGTTTGCTCTTTGTCATACGTTTGCAAAAAGGGTAAGTCATGAAGCAGTTTTTATTTTTACCATACTTTTTCTCTAAAAAAGGTCGTTAGAAATGCAGGTAAAATCACCAAAGAAGATATTAATTGTCCATCTCATTTGGAAACTCCCCTTTGCTGAGAGAGCTGTATGGTGACTACATAACACAAGAAATATAAAAGCGTGAGCACTTTTACTTTGAATCGTGGAGGGAAGAAAGAAATTCCTAAAACCAGACTGCACTGCAGACATTAATACATTATTTATTCTTATGTGAAGTAGCCTTGTTTTATTAATCTTCACTGATTATTACCATAACCAGTTAAACTTTCTAAAATATGTATTAGCTTAGTTTCTCTATGATTTTACTACTTTTTTTACATACTCAGTCTTTTTATTTCTAATTCTCATAATTCTGGTGTGTTTTGTTCCTCTTATGTACCACGTTCAGGTTTTTCTACAATCCCTTTTCCCCTGTGCAGGGGGACTAAGCCTAATGAAGAGCCAAAATCCGTAGGCATTTGAGAAATATGCACCACAGCAAGAGTCATCCATCTTTGCCTTTCCTGAAAGTTTATTTCATTTTTGCATCCAAGTGAACTGAGGAATCCTTTATATGCTCTCCCACCCATGCAGCCAGCA